TCAAAACTGATATTAATGTATGCTAAGATTATTTACCTAGTACATGAGCATCATTTCTAGTTTTCCAACATGTAATTTATTTAAATTTCATATACCACTTAATCAGTGGGAGAATCCACTACAAAAACTCTATTATATGGAGAAACATGAACAACTAATGTCTCAAACCTCTTTAACCTTTGTACTATGTCACTGAATGATGCAAATATGCATAAAAACAAAATTTTCATATTTTCGAATTTTTCTTGAAATTTGTGGGTTAACCCATACGAAAAAATTGAGTTTTTCGAAAAATGCTATATTCAGAAATTTGTGCTCTCTATTTTTGATAAAAAAATACCTAATTACATTCTAGATTTGTATTAATGTTTGTTAAAATCATTTTCATGGTACATTGAAATCATTTCTAATTTTCAAAAAGTTAATTTATCTAAATTTCATATACCACTTAATTAGTGGGCAAACCCATTAAAAAAATTTTATTTAATGGACAAACATGAACACCTAATGTCTCAAACCTCTTTAACCTTTGTACTATGTCACTGAATGATGCAAATTTGCATTAAAACAAAATTTTCATTTTTTCTAGTTTTTCTTGAAAATATGTGGGTTAACCCCTACGAAAAAATTGAGTTTTTCGAAAACACTACATTCAGACGTTTGTGCTCTTTATTTTTGATAAAACAATACCTAATCACATTCAAAACTTATATTAATGTATGCTAAGATTATTTACCTAGTACATGGGCATCATTTCTAATTTTCCAACATGTAATTTATTTAAATTTCATATATCACTTAATCAGTGGACAAATCCACTACAAAAACTCTATTTTATGGAGAAACATGAACACTTAATGTCTCAAACCTCTTTAACCTTTGTACTATGTGACTGAATGATGAAAATATGCATTAAAACAAAATTTTCATATTTCCTATTTTTTCTTGAAATTTGTGGGTTAACACCTACGAAAAAATTGAGGTTTTTGAAAATGTTATATTCAAAAGTTTGTGCTCTTTATTTTTGATAAAACAATACCTAATCACATTATAAATTTGTATAATGTATGCTAAGCTTATTTACCTAGTACATGGGAATCATTTCTAATTTTCAAACATGTAATTTATTTAAATTTCATATACCACTTAATTAGTGGACAAATCCATTACAAAAACTTTATTTTATGGAGAAACATGAACACTTAATGTCTCAACCTCTTTACCCTTTGTACTATGTCACTGAATGATGAAAATATGCATTAAAACAAAATTTTCATATTTTCTAATTTTTCTTGAAATTTGTGGGTTAACCCCTACGAAACAATCAAGCTTTTCGAAAATGCAATATTCAGAAGTTTGTGCTCTTTATTTTTAATAAAACAATACCTAATCACATTCTAGATTTGTATTAA